AATTGAGAGATCGAAATGAATTGAGTATCATGTATGAAATAATAAGGTTTATGCTGCAGCGACATAGTAAGAGAATTGACCGATCTTAATTGACAATTGACGAATTAGTATTCATGAACATAATCTTAGCCAATCATTGATCATGCTGACAAAGGAATAAAACTAGAAACTAAAAACTTCCTAAATATTCGATGTTTAAACTGCATCAAGACGGAGCTTAAGCAAGTGGCCCAGCGGTACTAAAAATAGGAGTTGAAGCTTAACACTACCAAATGTGGATATATCTGCAAACTATGAGGCGGTGACAGGTGTAAAAGTTTCCACGAAGGAACTTATACATTTACTTCTGCCTAATAACTTTTCTATCAATGAGCATTCAATTGAAAGCTTTATTTTACTGCAACCGTTAGATAACTGTAAAATAAAAGCATCTACCAGTTCCAGTTTCTTTTATCATATGTGCAAAGTCTATTATTTTCAAATTCTACTCAAACTATGACGTTTCCTCCAGTTTTGATCTGTATTTTTACACAATGACAAAGTTAGCCGGTTAAAGGTATTCAGTATATTGGTGTCATGTTAGCTTATATGTGAAAAATCGTTTGTGATAGATATGACCTCTTACTGCTGGAAATAATTTTTAAAGAACTACTCTCTTTAGACATGACATAATGACTACAGTGACAAAACATTCAAATAAAACAATGATTGAAATTAAGTGATTTTCAGCTTCACTTAGACTGAAATGGTGCCCAAGTACTTAAATAAACATTTAATCAAGCTAAATGTCAAATTTTAAGAATTTATGCCAATATATAGCATAGTCATTATGAATCTTTACACTGTTTTTATAAGTAAATACATGTATCAAACAAAGATACCTTACATGAAACTCGTGACACAAGTATTGTACGGGTCAACAGAGGTGATGTTTATATCGAACTCGAAAGTAACCATGAAAAAATATCTTAAAAACAAATTATTCAAGGAAACGTTGTAAGATTTTTCACTAAACACTGAATCTATTGATCTAAAACATAGTCTCATTTGATGTTTGTTCAATCTGAAATTGGGAATACGATTACTTCATTTAAGATTAAGGAAGAAAATACGTCTAAAAGCAAGATTCTTTTTGAACGGGATGCGGTCGCACACCTCATGCCTAACCCTCTTCCCATATCCAGGCTTAAGACTGGCACTAACTCCAGAAAAGCTCCAGAAGATATGAGTCAGCCAGTGAGTAACGACGTTCAAATCCGTATGTACAGACATCTGTTCAAGTTTCAATACGTCTGTACAGGGAGATCAGATTGTGGTCTCATGTGCTTTTATGGGTTTGAGCGTGGATGTCACTTCTCGGTTGTCATCACCGTCGAAGGTTGTTTCTTGAGGAACCCGAAAAAGAAGTCCAGTTAGCGTTGGTTTGAGCGAAATGGGAGCGTGAACACATAAATTAAGGGACAACTACACGAGACTAGTTATCCACAGCCTTTTTTATGTGAAGTTTTTAAGGTGTTAGCTCCGCACTTCAAGTGGCTTTGCCACCGGAGACGGATATCCGTGAGGTTAGATGCGGTGTAACATTTTTAGGGTCGATCTTTTCTAACCCCTTCCTTCCTTGTAAGAAGGCAGCATCGTTGTAGATGCTGATTGTTTGCGGGAAACACCTTACAGCCGTCACACCTCTCTACAGTCAGCAGTACGACTTCGCCCTCAGAACTTGAGTTGATGCTTTTAGTGTCGTCCTTCTCCATTGCTATCAGCCATCGATGGAGAAACTCTATTCAAGACTGCTGATAGATTGACCCCTGAGCTTTTTAAGGATGGTGGCCCAGTTTTAGCAGCTCGATTGAATGAGATCTTAGGTAGAATCTTGGAACTGGGCGTATTCACATCTGACTGGTCTCAATCCTGAATTGCCCCAATTTATGAGAAAGGATAAAAGTCCTCTTGTGACAATCAAAGAAGAATAAGTTTAACCAACATAGTATCTAAAATATTGGCCTCAATAATACTCCGACGCTTAGCGAAAGCTCGTGAAGAGCAGACTAGAGAAAACCAGGCTGGTTTCAGACATGGACGTGGATGTTTAGATCACATCTGCACACTATGACAGGTGCTAGGATACAGGCACAAGTTTCAGCGTCCGACAAAATTCGTCTTTCTAGACCTTCAAGCGGCATTCGACTCAGTGGAAACGTAAGGTTCTGTAGCAGTGTGTCACTGAAAGGTGTACCAAAAGAGTACGTGAACTTTCTATAGGCCTTCTCCTCGAAAAGCACTGATCGAGTGAGAGCTTATGGCGAACTGACATCAGATTCGGTTACTTCAAGTTGTGTTTGTCAGCATGTCCATTCCTACTCAACTTTGTCAGTGACATGCTTTTAGAGGCGACACTTGCATCTCTGACTTTTCAGGGGTTGAACTTCTACCAGGAGACACGCTTGTTGACTTAGAATATACCGATGACATAGTTTTACTTGGCGAAGACGCTGACAAAATGCAGAGTCGTCTGACTACCCTAAGCAACAATGCGAGCATGTTCGGGATGCGATTCTCTCACTGCTAATGCAAAATCTCGCTTCAGGATTGGCTTGCATCGGTGCCTGAACTAGTGATAGGCAGTGAAATAGTTGAGCGTGTTGACGGCTTCACTTATCTCGTGAGTCTCACCAGTGTTGAAGGCTTGGTGTGTGAAAAAGCTCGGCACGCATAGAGAAGACTCGATTAGCTTTCGTCAACTTGGGTCATTTATGGCGTAGGTGAGATATCCGTTCGCCAACCAATGGATGAGTTCATTCCTTTCTACTTCATGGCTGTGAAACATGAGCAGTAGAGTAGAAGAAATTCGTAGGTTACTGATTTCCGATCATAGGTGTCTCCAAAGCATTGCACATTTATCTTGGGACCATCGAGTAAACAATCAAGTTGTTAGGAAAAAGGTATTAGGCAAGTATGGTAGATTAATAGATGAAGCAGTGAAACTCCATAAGTTGAGGTGGTTGGGACATTGTTATCTATGCCCTACCACCGACTGCCTCGTTTTTGTGGTGTACGAGTAGGTTGGAAGAAAACTAGGGGCGGCCAGACCAAAACATGGCAGAATTCATAAAGTCACTGTCAACTGGATTAGGTCATGTTGGTAAGTGTAGACTGCTTGGTTGGGGTCCGCGAGATGACAGTAATCAATGGTAAGAGACCTTGAACGACATGGCTCAAAACCGTTTGCTATGGAGTAGGTATATCCACTCGTTGTGTTTTATGAAATTCTAATCTTCCGAATTTCTTGTCGCCTATATCTCTCATTTTTTAAGTCCATCCCACTTGATTATACTTTTTGAACAATGTCTTTGAACTCTAATCTCTCCGATTACCGCTAATACTTCTACTACCCCTAATACTATAAAATTTGGATCTACTATTGCATGTTTGGGCTACCATGGTATGGAAACTTGAACTGATGTACGTACGTACGGAGTTCTGCATCGTAGCGGACTGGCTAAGTTATAGAGTCTGAAGAAGTGAACTGCTGAGCACTACACTCATCCTTTGGTTGGCGAACGGATATCTCACCTACGCCATAAATGACCCAAGTTGACGAAAGCTAATCGAGTCTTCTCTATGCGTGCCGAGCTTTTTCACACACCAAGCCTTCAACACTGGTGAGACTCACGAGATAAGTGAAGCCGTCAACACGCTCAACTATTTCACTGCCTATCACTAGTTCAGGCACCGATGCAAGCCAATCCTGAAGCGAGATTTTGCATTAGCAGTGAGAGAATCGCATCCCGAACATGCTCGCATTGTTGCTTAGGGTAGTCAGACGACTCTGCATTTTGTCAGCGTCTTCGCCAAGTAGAACTATGTCATCGGTATATTTTAAGTCAACAAGCGTGTCTCCTGGTAGAAGTTCAACCCCTGAAAAGTCAGAGATGCAAGTGTCGCCTCTAAAAGCATGTCACTGACAAAGTTGAGTAGGAATGGACAGCGCTGACAAACTCCACTTTTGTAAATGTGGAGTTATGAAGGGAAGATGTGCAAATATTTTTTAAAGAGCGCTATTTTTAAGAGAATGTACGCAGGAATTGGAGTTAGAACTTTCTTAGAAAGGCTAAATGATGTTCATTACTAAGACAGGTCTTACAAGTCCGTTGGTTTACAAAAGTATTTCCATCAGTGTTTATCATAAAATAATCGATCAATTCAAAAATATTGCTGTGCATGTGCAGTTTCAGAGGAAGTGCAATCGTACATCCCTGTCGTCGTTACAACAAGAAATGTACCACCAATTGGAAAAAAACCTGGTAGCAATTGTGAGCTGTACCCCAAAAACAATTGCGCACAAAATGGGACATATTCAAAGTGTTTTTGTCCATCTGATCACTTTGGAAACCATCCAAGTGCTTGGACTGAACAATCCTAAGGATCGCATATACCCACTTACACAAAACCTCACCCTGAGTGGTGCAGTTAACAAGATGGTCTTGGTTCCATAAAAATACGGATAATCTTAATCACTTAAACAATAGTAGATCTTAAGGGTGGTAGGACTTTCAAATCTTTCTCAAGAGAAGAGATCTGAATGTCAAAATCCATTTCCATCACTCAACTTCCAAATGCACGGTAAATCTAAATAAACAATCCATAGTTTGGTGAGTAGATAAAATTTTCAGATGTCCCATCACTTTGACCTCCCTGAGACTTGTCACGAAAGGTTTTAAAAAGCATAGACAAATATATCTATACTGCGATCTTCATTTTACCACCGACTGGCGAAAGACTGAAAAAAATTATCCGAAAAAGAGTATAAGACTAATGGTAAGTGCTGTCTCTGAGCACTCTCTGACTTAACGAAGATGTATCGATTGAAATGTTGAGTTAGTCAAAACTTAAACTGGATAATACATATTATATTACTTCATAGAAAGAATAACGTCTGAAGGTAAAAGTAGTGTGCTATCATAACGGGTATGAACACAAAACAATTACAAAGTAATTACTTTCAATTGATTGATCTCTAAGAAACACTTCTTGTTCAAGCCAGAAGTTTTCTAACGGCTCTTCTGAAGAAAAGTTTATTTCACGGGAAACTGATTTGCATTTGAGTATTTTTTTCGGAACGTATGCTATTTAAATTTTTGGATATAATGGAACATTTACCTTTATGTTCGATATCAGGAACTGAACTGTTTTTTGTATTAACGGCAAATACAATTTTAAATAATTTTAAACTCACAAATCATCAGTGCTTTGCCATAAGACTTTCCCAGAATCAGCATCGCGCAAGTTCATCCAATTTCTAAAATAGTGATTTCAATTAAACCAGTAGGTACAGTTTGAAACCTCTCAAAATAGATTCACACTTTTCCTGACTCATTTTGTACATTGCGGAATCGAGGAAGCGAAAGTACTGATGGACACCGACTCATTTTAACAACTACTTAAATGTTTGAAGATAGAGCGAAACTCAACTCTGAGAATATATTGGATAGTGAAAACTCACAGGATGAACCTACAGTAATGCAGTAATTGTATTCATGGTGAGAATCCTGAAAATGAACCACAACGCAAGTTTGTTGCTTTTAGTTGTTAGCATATGCCACAATAGTAACAGGTTTTATAATGACGCATATGAACCCTGCAAATTTTTACCTCGTTCGTTCTACTGGCAACTCTGGATGTCTAATTATATTTGATTCTGCCCACCTTGCGGACCATCATAAGTTTTTGAAAGAGCTGTTATTTCTTAGTAGTTAATGTGGATTATTGCTTATCAGAGTCTGGAAGAATACGTCTGGTAACGATTTCAACCTTAAAAATTTGTTGAAAAATATTATTTAACCCAGACAATATATTGAAACGTATTGGTATTCTATCTGAATCGTTAGTGTTTTAGTTATAGATGAACTTGTTTTTAGTTGTAGTTTGTTCTGATGGTACTTTGTAAAACCTGGAAAAGTAATTTTTAAATTTTGGTTCCAATTCTTCTCAGAAGTCGCATAAACTCCAGATTTTCTATGGTTCGGTTGATACTAGTGGAAACGTCTGAGCCGATGAAAGGATCTGCTCCACTTCCATTACCTCAGAAAGCCATGATAGAGTTTGCCACTCGATATCGTTCTGTTTTGCATGACTTAGTCACGCTGCAATTTTTGGTGTTTGTATTCACCAGTCCTATCAATATTCAGATATTATTTTATGTCAGACATATTATTTGGTATGTGCTTCATCATGCTACCTCAAGTGTGGTCACTGAACAGTTTAAGGCATATACCAGTAATCTGAATTGAAGAAAAAGTGCACATTGTACCTTAAGTTCAATCAAGTATGGGAATTAGAGAATCTAGTGAATTCCGTTTGCAATGAAAAATATACATTCAAATAGGAGTGTGCTACATCAGGCATGCCAGTTTATAGTCAAAATATTATTGTTAAAATTGATAACACACTGTAAAAGGTTCTACAGTTTGACGAACATTTCATCAGATACACTGGCTTTCACATAAACTCGTCAAGAATTTCTGAAATTCGGGAATGTATTGTACATTGGTTCGCGCGAGTTATGTAGGTTTCCTTGTGACGGACGACTGCTGGTCGATATTCACTGTACTTTAAGTACAGGGCTATACATAACACGAAGTGATGAGGTAAATATACATTGATCTCCCTGATGTCATTCTCCAGATAGTTATTTGATATGTTCAAGGCAAATATTTTCAGGCGTAGGATGAAGTTCTGTAAAGAAAATGAATGTGGCCAGAAGTGGAACAGACAATATTTATGTTTTAAGCTGGGATCTTGAGTCTCTTGAGATCCAGGGGACAGCTAGGATCGAACCATACTCCCAACTTCATGGGGAGATTCAAACCTCCAGCCCTGGAACCGCTATGACGCAGTCTTTTAAAAGGCAACCTGATACTTCTCTGTGTAATAATATATGGTCTCACGTTTATACTTTTCCCCCTACTTATGAAAGACGACCCTGCTTACGAATTCAGGAACAACTCATGTACATTAATACTGGCCGAAAACATGAGGTCATTGTGTTGCAATTTGCTTGCAACCAGGCACAGTTTACTGTGGAACAGACTAATGATATCTCTCCGTACCTTTTACACCACCACCAGGTTCGAGAAACTGGTTAGGCTGTTGTTAGATTCTAAAGAGATTTATCAGCTATATCAAGAACCCACACCAAATCCCAAAGGAGCATTTTCATAGTCCACCAAAAATTTTAACTAGACCTAGAAACTATTAACAGACCATCAACAAATTGCTATTCCATTAACACTCATGCAGCTATCAAGACATCCCAAACACATTGCATTACCCCATCTAACAGCAGTAGGTCACGCTTTTATGCTCCTGTGACTTACATCCGGAGTTTCCCTAATATTAAAATTCACATCATCCCAGGAAATGTCTTGCACGCTCTAAACGTGTGCCCACAATACTCAACCAACGTAGTAAGCAACAAGGCCTGCTCACAACTACTCCTGCTCAGGACGTTGTTAAGCTTCTTACAGTAAACCCCAGAACTCCTAAGAGTCAGGAAATACACCGAAAATATTTTACTAAGCTCTAACCTCGAGGACCTCTCCATTTTTTAACCCAAAGAATACTATTCCTCATACTGCGCAAAAAATTCTAGAATGTCAAGTAGTTAAAATAAATCTCTTAATACTAGCCTGTTTGGGTGTCTGCTTATGTCCTTAGACACCTCTCCAATCGAAACACCATTTACAACCCGTGGGTCCCTCCTCCAAAACATGTGTCCTACCCTCTTTTAACCCTCTTTTGCTGTCGCCTGCTGTTTAGGGCGATATTCTTACGTCTTCCAAGTTATCTTCTACATTCTGTGGTGTGATGGATGTCAGTCAATCTTTCACGCTAGCGATTACTCATGTTATTATACTTTAATGTCTGGTCCTTCTTACCGACCAACTTTCATCTAATTGACCTAACCCGGTCCACCGAATGCAGGGGATATTCGAAACGATCCATTATTATCCTCTCTAGAGATTTCCACAGTTGTTATTCGTGGATCAGCCGTTAACTTTGAACAACAATATCTACCATATTAAACCACATTTACTTCTCTCACCACATCATTGTCTGAGTACCTCTATCACAATGACTATATTGTTTAAAAATCAACCGAGCATAGTTATGAAACCTATATTGCTGCTTCCTTCACTTCTTCACATTACACAGCAAACAACTCACCAGATGCTCATCGCGCCTACTTAAAAGATAAGTCCTCACCCTTTGTAACAGCAATGCTAAATAATTTTCCATCTGTAATCATCTACATGACTCACCTACGCTCCTTGGTAATTTTAAGCAACCTTTCGCTTGTCTTGATCAACAACGGTCGATCGTTATCCAATATCCCAGAATCACACCTTGTGGTTAACACCAATGAACTCTTTCACTGATTAAAAATGGTTGCGTTTGTCTCAGTTATGCATCTCGAAACATCAAAGCGAAAATGTTTAGTGAAACTCTTCTTGATAAAGTTCCTGATTCGATAAGACTCACTATGTACGCCCATGAGTGTATAATGTAGTCTAGATGCATAAATCGTGTACCAAACACTAATCGATAGACTGGCATTGCTATCGGAAAGTCCTCTGCCAGGATTGAATCTCTTGAATTCGCCTGCAAAATTATTCGTGGTGACTTCAACCTTGCACGCGCTACTGCATGTTAATTCCGAGACCTCTTGTCGCCTGCTTAAAAGACTCATCAAAATGAACGCAGGTTACAGCATTCATTCTTTAATGCATGATGGAGACTTATTGTGACCAAACTGTTATTTGTGAGCTGTTAAGTACATGGTTCTCCCTCAGTAGAACACATCGCTTACCTCAGATGATATTCTTGACTGTGTTTGCAAGAATATTCTCAATATCATCAACTTTGACATCAGCAATATTCACACCACTATTACAACCCTAAAACCCAATGAAAGCTGTAGTGCTAATGGAATAATAATAATAATGATTTATTCTCAAACAACAACATGTTACGAAAGGCATTCCAATTAACAGGCAAGATAATTACTTTTTTAAACGTTATCCAGTTACTGAAAGATTTCACAAGATACATTGGCGTCTTATAGATGGCTAAAATGTGACGTGAAACTTGACGCAAACAATCCAGTTACACGAGTTTTAACGGCTTCCTAATGAAGTTCGCGGTCGCACTAATTCATCTCCACAGGTGAACCCTCTAGCAGCCCGCTTTCACATTAGTAGGCCTGAAAACTTTTAAAGTAAATCGAATTTAGAGCTGCCTATTCTCATTCCTTCCTTATTTTTGTCCTATTCTCTGGAATGATATTCAATTCTACTTGGTTACATAACTCTTTAGTTTACACTTGGAAGAGACAGCATTCTTCTACCCTTATGAGTCGTTTCTAAAACATCACCATTTACTGCTTGGCCTCGAGTTATCATATACTTACAGCCTGAAAAGACATCACACATCACATTGCACAAAACTACGACCATAATTTTGTGGGTTCCTTATGGTCTATCATACCCTTGCTTCTTTTACACGCACCATATCGACTTGTCATTGATTCCATCTCGTTGTCCACAGCCCCACTTTTAACTAGTATACTTCCTCATCTTTCCGCTGAATTTATTAAACAGTGTGATCTAACCTTTAAACTGGCATACCTCATATAACACATTGTTATCTTAGAAATTATCTCTCTTATTGTATTTCCGCTGTTACATCCTGAAAACTTATATGGCAGTTTACACTATTGCACTGATGCCTAACCCATAATTCATAAGTTTTAACAGCCTGAGGAGCTTTTAAAATAGAACTTGCAGAAAGGGTGTTTTCAACAGGACGCGAAATAAAGAGCCCTGAGTATAACATAAAATATTATCTTACAGTCGTTATCAATGAACCTAGCAGCAAAATGGCAAGCAAGCATTGAAAGTGTGGTGATTGGAGGGATTTACCGGCTTCCTTCAGGAACGGAGGCTCAGAAGAATAAACTGACTGGGGTAACAATGCAACCACTGAATACCTCCGCATCAGTTGGAACTACATAGGTGACGCAGTTATGACTTAAGAAACTCTTCACTTTATGGGAAGGCAAGTTGGTGCTTTTATCACAGAATTATTCGTAACGTTGTGTAAGACATATGAACGCCCACAACTTGAACTTAACAACGTCGTCGCACCCCATCTCCTTAAAAGAGACGTAAATCTCTTGGATCCAGTGCAGAGACGAGCAACGAAGTGGGTGATTTGGTTAAATGATAAAACTCACGAAGATGGACACCCTCACATACGATTATTCACCCTGAGTTAAAAGACAATCAGAAGTGAACTGATTATGGCGCACAACATATTAGGCACGCCAAACCATCCTAAAAAGTGCA